GCCTGAGCACCACGGGTGCCACGGGGAACGAGGACGCCGAGGTCCGCGGGCGCCCTCTCGTGGCCAGCACCAGAGGCGGCAAACGCCCCGCGGCGTTATCTTCCCGGACGAGAACGGAGGTCCGTTTCCATTTCTCCGATCCTGGCTGGGAGCCTTTCTCACGTTGCCGGGGTGAACGACTGTGATTGTTAGATGTCTCTCCGTTGGGGACACGACAGCAGGGCCTTTGCGCACAGCAGGCCGCTTAACCGACCCCATGACCTCGTGAGGCAGATTCTTTTACTATCCTTGCTGTTACAAACAAGGAAACTTGAGGCGTGGATGCCTTAAGGCACAAGTGGATAACAATAAATTTAAAGTAGAAGCCATTCTACTGAGTTTTAACAAAACCCCTCTTTTGTTCCTTTAAAACGTTCTTTCCGCTTATTTATGCCCGAGAACATTTTTCTTGAGTCGCAGTTCTTCTCCTCTCCCTCTGTCGGCTTCCCTAACGGTGGGTTAGTATTTATTTTTCTTTGCAGGTCCAAAATCCAGCCCAGGGTCAGACTCTGTTTGCATGTGACTAGAGTTAGTTAACTTTCTTCTCCCGGTTAGAGACTCACATAGGTGATTTAACCTCCTCCCTTTCTTAACTTTTTTTTTTACAGACAGTGAAAGGAAAATCAGGACTCTAGTAATAATAACAAGAGCAGCCAATTTTTGGTGCTTACTGTGCTCCAGGCAATGTGGTCAATGCTTTCCTACCATAATTGGCAGGCATCTTTCAGTAGGTGTCACCCCCTTGTTCCCTGGGACCCTGAGCTAGGCCAAGCCACAGTAACACTTGGCCTTGAGGGCCTCAGCACAGGGACAGCAGAATATTCCCGGATTCCAGGCCTCTTTGTCTAGACAGAGCTATATGCTGGCTTTGGACACTGCCCGGGTGCCCCTTTCTTGCTGGATTTGGTCTGCTGTTATTTAGATCTGGCCCCTTTCTGTGCTAGGAGTGAAATGCCAGAAAAACACTTTTTTTTGGTGCTGGGGATCAAACTTGAGACTTTGCACTTTTTAGGCAGTCAGCAGAACCACTGAGCTAAATCCCAGGCCCATAGAAAAGCACATTTCTTTCTTCTTTCTTCTTCTTCTTCTTTGTTTTGTTTTTTTGAGACAGGGTCTCGCTATGTAGTTGAGACTGAACTGGAACTCACTGTGTAGCCCAGGCTGGTCTTGAACTCACAGCGATCCTCCTGCCTTAGCCTCCCGAGTGCTGGGATTACAGGTGTGCACCACCATGCCCGGCGAAAAGTGCATTTCTGATGCCCTTGCCAGACAGTGACTGTGAAAGTCGCACTCCTAGGCAGCACTGAGAAGTTAGAAGACAGGGAAGCCACTCAGCTTCTGTCTCCAGGCATGGTAGTTTTGAGCCACAGTTGGCAGATAGCAGATCGCAGCAGGTTTGGTGACTTCGGTGGTGGCAGGAGTGGAAGGCTGTTCCCAGTTTGGGAATTTGTACGAGAAGTACTAGCGTACATATTTCTAAGAAGAATATTTGTCAAATAAGCATAGATGTGTCTATGGGCATAGACACTTATTCCTTGCAGTCCTATTTTATATATGAATATAAGTGTTAAATAACAGAGTCCAAATGATCTATGTAATAGGACTCTGTTTATAACCTGTTTAAAGAACCCCTGGGTCATTCACTCGGTGCAACAACTAGGGAGGCCAGCCAGCCAGAAAGCTGGAGCAGTATGGAGAGCAGGTCCTGGCTGTAAGTGAGGTCCACCACTTGTGGGGTTTACTGTGGTGGAGCAATCTCTCACTAATGCCACCCACATCCCAACTCCAAAGGAGTACTATGGTAGTAGGGGTTCACAGTTCATAGGATTGTGGTAAAGATTAAATTAACTGAGCTCTTAATGTTGCTTTCCACACATAGGAGATACTGAAATATGATATGTGCAAAGCAATAATGCAGAACTATTACAAGTAAGGGGTATATATATATATATATATATATATGTATAGAAGTCTTTTTTGGGAAGAGTTTTTTGGGTCTTCTATGTAGAGTATCATATTATTAACAAGAAATGACAGTTTAACTTCTTCCTTTCATACCTTTATTGCTTTTATTTCTTTTACTTGTCTAATTGCTCTGGCAATTAGATGATGATTTGTGGTAGTTATTAATCTATCACTTTTTTTTGAGACAGGGTCTCACTGTGTAGTTGAAACTGACCTGGAACTCACTATGTGGCCCAGGCCGGTCTTGAACGCACAGCGATCTATAACTTTTAACTGTGTGAATTAAATCAAAATCAAGGACCAGCCCAAAATATGTTTATAGTGAATAAACTCTTCAATATAGCAACTTGGAAGGGGACTTGGAAGGAGTTGGGGAGTGAGGGATAGATATGTTAGGGAAAGGTTATAAGTGAGGCCAAAGGATACGGGAAGATCACACAAACTCTAGGGAACTTTTGAAGAGAAGAGAAGACAAAACAAAATATTCACAAGAACAGAACAAACTACCAGCAATGGGGAGGCTAGAGACTGTAATCACTGTCTTTTCAAACTAATGGCAATTAAGAGAAGAAAAGAAAAAGAAAGAAAAAAAATTCAAAACAGGACCGGAATAGGAATAAAAAGAGAGGAATGAGGTGAGAGACAGAGTGGGAGAGATAGAAAAGAAGATAAGACAAAGAAGATAAAAAAGGAAAAGATTGAGAAAAGATAAAAACAGACAAAAAATTTAAAAATGTTTAAAGATAGGAGAAAAATATTACTTTGAAAATAAAAAACACAAGTAGAAATAGAGGGCCTCTGCTGACACAATAGACAGCATGGGCAGGAGTGTGCTGGTCTAAGTTAATTAGTCTCAGGGAGCCAGCGGCTGTCCCTCGAGGTTCAGGCTGATTTCTGGCTGCAAGGCCCAAGGTGAGATCTCTGAGCTCAGGCTGGGTTGAACTCTGCAAGGTTCTGCTGCAGGTTCCATCTGTCTCTCCCCTGAAGTTAGATGAGGTTCTGGTGTGAGATACAGATCCCTCTAATTTACCAACTACAGTGGTCTGGCGTGCCTTTATTTGCAAAGATTTTATTCACTTTTTCATTTTCATCTAGGAGCCTCAGGGAGGCCCTTTTTCTTGTTTGCAGCGACCTCCCCCTGGACTGTGTTGGTGCCTAGGCAGCTGGGCTCCTCTGCTGTTCTGCGCTGAAGGAGGTGGGCCCACCAGAGGGTCTCACGTTGCTGCCAGGCTCCTCTATTGCTCTGCACAGAAGGGTGCTCCTGTGAGACCGGGCTGAGCTAAAGTGACTCCATGTTGGCCAGCTAATGGCCCAGAGACTGTTGTTTCACCCTCCCCTTACCTTCAACAGGGAAAACTGCTTAACTGCAAAAACTTTCCTATGCTGAATGCTAGCTTAATTAATAAGCCTGCCTGGCAACAGATAAAAGTGAGACTGCATAACTCTGTAGCTGTATAATTGTGTAATCTTTAAATTTCTGACTATGATTAATGTGTATAGTTCTGGGTAACTAGATAAGGTCTGTACCAAACATAGAGACCCAGAATTAATTTCCTCACTCGTTGTTTGCCCGAAATGCTTTTAAGATCTCAGAACATCTTGTAGCATCTGTTAACCATCAACACGTGGCTGCCAAATATGCGACAGCTGGCCACCAGTGCGAATCAGCAGACCATTAACCTTTGCCACCTGACTGCAAGCTTTGAATGTTAACTTCCCCTGTACCCACTTATAAGAAGACCTCAGCCCCTGAGCTAGTGCCTCTCTGAGCTAGTCAGCTCTGGGAGTGCCATCTGGCCAGAAAAATAAAGGTCTATTTCATTTCCAACTTGTCTGGTGTGCTCCTTCCTGGGTGATTCTTGTGGCTGTTGAGCTCCTTGGAGTGGTTGGTAAGGCTCTTGGTCTTACACTCTCTTTAATTTCTTGCATTGCATAAAGGATTTGCTCTGTTGGGTCTCACAGATTTGTGATCTTCATTGTCTTCTTCTAGGATATTGCTTAGAATTGTTTGGGGCTTGAAATACCTCACTCTGTGAAAAAAGAGATTTATTAAAAATAGTAAGGGACCATGAAAAATCCAACAGCTCCTAGATGATGCAAAGAAGAATAATATAAGATTAATAGGAGTCCAAGAAAAAGTAGGAGAAAGCACAAATGACATAAAAAACTTCACATAATTAATGATGGAAAACTGCCAAAACAGAGGAAAAGAGCTTGACATTCGGATAAGTGAGGCATATAGGACCCCAACTAGTTATAATAAAATAAAATTTACACCTAAACATATAATAATGAAGATCCCAGAAATCCAACAAAAACACAAAATACTACAAGCAGTTAGAGAAAAGAAACAAATTACATGCAAAGAAAAGCCCATCAGAATCACAGCAGACTTTTCAAACTTGTTTCAAGTATTCCTTGAAAAAGCCCTGCAAAGAAACAAAATGCATGTTTGCATTCACTGATAATAGCTTGTGAGGTTTCCTCTCAGCACAACCTGATGAAAACTGTCCAGAAGGCTCATAAGTTAGTCGCCTTTCCATCACTGTAGCAAATGCCTGAGATCTTCAACTTGAAAGGAGGAAAGATTTTTCACTGACAGTTTCGGAGGTTTCAGTTCATGAAGGATCGGAACCATTGTTTTTGTGTGAGGCAGAACATCATGGCAGGGAGCACACAGTGGAACCGTGCTGCTCACCTCTTGGTGGTGGGGAAGCAGAGAGAGGGAGCAGCAAGGGTCCTGGTATCCAGAAAATGCTTCCTGTGACATCACTTCCTCCCACCAGGTTTCCCTTCTTAAAGGCCCCGCTACCCATCACCAGGGGCCTAGAATTAAGCAAGCCTTCAACACATGGGCCCTTCCAGATCAAAGCATAGAACCTGACAATGTTGCCTTTCATAAACTAGAATTCAGTGAGCAAGATTTATGGTTTCCGAGGAACTGTCCAGCTTGATGTGGTAGACTGTAGAAAGAAAAGGTGCTCTTGAGATTTCTGAAGTTGTAAAACAAAGAGACAATTACTTTATCCTCATTAAAACCCACATTTGGTTAATTTTCCATCAGAATCTCTGTCACAGAAAAGAGGTTCAAACTGGCTCATGTATGTCCTTATATAGTGGCCTTTGTGTAATGAATTGATGCTTCTAGACCATTTAAGAGGAGTTGTGACTAAAATCCAATGTCTTTTTATAGTCATGAATTAGATGTTTGTAAAATGAATATGCAACAAACATTAAAAGGGCATTAAACAAAA